GTCCAGGTTGGTCAATCCATGTTTTCCAAAACTGTGTTGTTTTGTTTTTTTCTCATGTTTTAAAATCATTGTTTTTAAAATTGCTGCAGCAATTAAAATTCCTAGGAAATAGCTTGGGAGTGTTCAGGTGGCTCTTGGGCCAGTCCCTTGCAAGTCAGCCACACAGTGGTGCAGTTCCTGGCAATAAAGAGCTGGAGGGGGAATTGTTTGGGAAGTGTAAGTCATGATTTATGCTGCTGTTAACCCGTTTTAAAGCCCTGTCATCAAAATAAAAAAATTTCCTTTCAACTGGATACCAAGGATGCTTCAGAGTGACTTTGAGGTGACATTGAGATGAGCTTTTATTTAATTTCTTCAGAAAAGACATAGGATACAGCTGGTTTTCCTCCATAATTTCTGATTCCAGTCTCAAGTGACTTATTTACAGAGAGTGCTGGAACTCTGACAAGTTTTCTTCTGTTTGATGGAAAGCAGAGATTTTCTAGCAAAACCAATTCTATCTCCATTAGATTCTTGCAGAATCATGCACGTGTAGGCTTCTCACATGTTGTTTTTTTCCTGCATGCACTGGTGTAAACTGCTCTTTCAACAGGACTGTTAAGAAAGACGATGTTTATCTTCCCAAACAGGATTTCAGCATGGGCCCAAGGAACAAAGATGGAAAGCTGATAAAGACCAAGCCCGTTAAAGCTGATGCAGAGAAAGCAGATCGATCCTCCAAGCTGGGCTTCCTCTACGACAGCACAATCCACCCATTTAAATTCAGCCCTCAGACCAACCTGAAAGATTCCACCAGCAGCCTGGACTACACCAAGAACCTGGGCACATTTATCCCTCCCATCAACCAGAACTTCTCTCCTACATTTGGGATGGGGTCTGGGCCTGGGAACCTTAATTACAGGTATGGGAGCAGAGCTAGGAGAGCTCATATCCAGCATTCCTGGGGCGTCCTGGGAGGGGCAGGCTGATGTGGGAACGTGAGACGCGGGGTTTGGGACATCTTGCATTTGTTGTTTTATATTGGCTGTGTTAGCCCAGCTAATACCAACTGTGAGGTATTTTTGATTACAGACTTGATGAAAAGAGTAAAAAATACTTGAACCCCTTGCTAAAGGCACGGAAGCCTTCTCCAGTGGGGCGTTGCAGTGTCAGCTTGACACCGGTGAGTCGTCTGTCTGTCTGTCTGTCCCCCTTGGCCAAGCAAAAATAATTCAATTGTGTGTTGTATTTTCAAGAACTCCATCTGGTGCATCTTTCATCATAACTCTGCACTAGAAATACTGGGTTTGTTACCCCTTTTTTCCTGCAGACTTTTTGTTCATTATCCCTTGCTAGCAGTTCTTACATAAAATATATTTCATGTCAGTAAACAATTTTAAATGAGGGGAGCGGTCCAGCACAGGATATCTGTGAGATTTGAAGTATATCCATGGCCTCCTGCCTGGCCAGGAAAGACAGACCATGTGTGCTGTGCTACTGAAGCAGAACTGAGGGTTTAGATTTAATGTGGCCCGGGCCTTACTTAGTCATGCATTAAAAATTGATAAGTAAAACAAGTGAAATGGGAAGTTTTCCTCTGCTCTCACTACCTAGGCATGATTATTACCGTGCCAGCCAGAAACATTTGCCTTTTTCCAGATAACTAATCCCAGCCATTCTCAAGTGCTGTATTTTATCTTTCGGAAAGCAGCCTCACTTAGATGATTTTTTTTATTTTGCTGTTGCTTTTCCATTGCTTGTGTATAAATAGCACTTGAGCAGGTTGAATTCCTTACACACATCAGAGTCTTTTGTCTCACTCTTGGACAAGTTCCAACTACATCAGAGCATTGCTGTGTTACTGCTTTTTTAAAGCTTGAAAATAGCTTTATTTTTTGTTTATATTTTCATGAGCTGTTCCTTATGCCCTTGATTACAGGTTACTAATGACAAACCTATCCTTCAGGCAAGTAAGAAAAAATGGGAATTCCTCAAGACAGATATGCGTTTGCCAGAACTAAATCATCTCCCTGAGCTGAGGGGAGCAGAAGGTAGGAGCTTTGAGGTCCTCTAAATAAAACCTGGGAACCAAAGAAGTGTCAGGAAGCAGTGTGTCAGCTCTCACTCCCTAACCATGGCTTGCCTTGGTGGTGTTTTGCAGCTCAGCAATTCAGATTTCTGAAAAAGGAAAAGAGAACGTTTGCAGAGCCCCGAGTCCCCTCCCTCGCTGCTATTGACCTTCATTACTCAAGTCTGGCTTCACAGCAGGTATCAAAGCAATAAAGTGATTTGTGCTGCTCTGTATGTGTTTGGTTTGTGACTTTCTCAACAGCAGGGCCCACAGAATTCCAGTTTGACTCCTAATGGAGCAGAATTTGCCCCGGGATCGTAAGTCTTACACTGTGGGAGCATTTTTGAAGCTTGATTCGACTAAAGAACAGATCTGTTTTGAATTTGGTGTTGGCATTGCATGTGTCTTTAGAAGGCTGTTTGCTGATTGTCTTCTCTGTGGATGCTACACTTGGGAATTGATCCTGTCTCTTTCTTTCCCAATTTCCAGCCATCAGGGACCTTGATGCCAGATGCATCAGAAGCTAACTTCCCCTGGGTGGAGCACTAGCCCTGGGGAGATGGTCACACCTGCCTGTAAAAGGTGGGCTTTCATTTCTGCTGTGTAGCCTGCTGCGGGCTTCCAAGTGGATGGTTTTGTGAACACTCACCTAGGGATGGGAAGTGCAATAGGAAAATTATTTTGTACTTCACATTCTTGGTCAGGACATGCAGCTATGACGGATTTCTTACAGTACACAGCTTGCTGTGCCCAGTAGATTATTTTCCTGAGCTAAGGTGCTGGGCATTGGGGTTGGAAAAGAAGCAGCTCATGAAATTGGGGGGGCTGAGCAAACTGGTAGAACAAAAAAAAAAAAAGGGGAAGCTGGCTGCCTGCATGTGAGGAGGGGAAAAAACAACTCAAGTTTGTGATCTGTGAAGCACAGAGGTGTAATTGCACAGCTTCAGCAAGGTAAGGATGTGTAACAAAGCAAAATAAAGGAAGCCTTTCACCAGGGAGTATCTCTGTGTTTTGTTAGTCTGTCCAGAGTCATTCTCCTTTTCTCCTCTTGATGCAGGTGACTGAACAGTGGGAACAATCCATCTGAGTTTCCAGGGGCTAAAGCTGCCAGGTCTCTGCAGGGGAGAGGAGGATCCCTTACTCCTGTTGGTGCAGCAGACTGCTTGGGTCCAGGCCAAGGATGGAGCTTGCACTGCCATTGCTGCTGGATTTCTTGCACGCAAAAAGCCCCTGGAATGTTGACTTTCTGGCTTAGGGCCAGGCCTTGTCTGAGAGGAGTAGTGGTCACTGGTGTGTGACAAGGGCAGGAGCTGCTTTGGAGGATTCTGAAGGAAGTTGGGCTTTCTTCTGTCCAGCTGCTGCCCGCCCGAGGGGTTTGTTTTTCAATGAATCGTGACAAAAGCAGCAGTCAGAATTCTCATATTTCAATGGGCTGCCTGACCTCGATTGAAAAGCACCTTTGCCTTGACAGTGAAGAAAATGTTTGTGCAAGAAATACAATATCTAAATGTGCAAATCTGAGCTGTTCCTTTGAAACCCTCGCTAATGCACTTGTCACTTTGTTTTAGATTCCTTTTTCCTTCACATTTTTGACACCATGTTTGGGCAGTTGTCTTTGGGGTGTTAGCCCTGGGTAGGTTGTCAGGCTGTTGTTGATGGTGAAGGAAGGAATATCCCTGTGGAATACTGAGCTGTGATGGAGGTGACATGTGGAATGTCTCAGTAACTGGAGTCATCATTCCTTGAGGTCCCTTAGGAGAATGGGACGGAAAACTCAACTGTTGGGCAACAATTTTTGCTTACTTGCCATTAGTTTGTCTGTGCTTAGTTTTGGGCTGTCCCTGTGTTGCTCACGACTGTTTTCCATCACCTGTCACAACTCACATGGTGTCATTAACTTATTTTCCCACAAAATACAGCCTTTCCCATTGATGGATCATGACAGAATATTGTCTGAACTCATTGTATTTAGGGATTTGTCTCCATGATGTCTCTTGACGTGTACATTTCATTTGTAAATAAAAAGATCTTCCAATTCCAGGCTTGACTGTCCCCATAGTGGATGCTCCACTTGGCCACAGTAGTCAGTCAGGTAGCCATGGGCAAATGCAGGGGGGAAGAGAAAGTTTGGAGAGGGAAGAGTGGAGGTTTTTGGGGGAAAGTTTGGTTTATGGGAGAAAGGTTTAAAGGGAAGGTTTTGCATGGGGAAGAGTGTGGCCAGCAGGTCCAGGGAGATGATCCTCCACTTGGCCCCAGTAAGGCCACATCTGGAGTGCTGTGTTCAGTTCTGGGCTCCACAGGTCAAGAAAGACAAGGAGCTACTGGAGAGGGTCCAGCAGAGGCTGAAGATGATGGAGGGGTCTGGAGGAGAGACTCTGGGAGCTGGGCCTGCTAAGTCTAGAGAAGAGAAGACAGCAGGAATCTCATCAGTCCATACAACTATCTTCAAGGTGGGTGTCAAGAGGACGGTGCCAGATTTTTGGTGTGCCCAGCAACAGGACAAGGAGCAGTGGCCAGAAACTAAAATACAAGGAGCTCCGTGTCAGTGTGAAGACTCACAGAATCTGCTCAGTTGGAAGAGACCCACAGGGATCACTGAGTTCGAGGAGTGTTCAGACAAAACTCTCAGGAACCTGGTGGGATTGGTGGGGTGCAGGGTCAGGAGTTGCACTTTATAATCCTTCATGGTCCCTTTGGTATATTCTGTGATTCGCCTTGGAGTTCCCTCTCTGGAGATATTCCCAGCCCAACTGGACGCGGTCCTGTATCACCTGCTCTGGGTGACCCTGCCTCGGCAGGGAGCTTGGACTGGCAGTCCTCCAGAGCTCCCCTCCAACTCGAACCAGACTTGAGAAGGGGAGCACGAAGGTTCGTTCAAGCCGGGGAGGTGGGGAAGCTATTTCGCAAACTCCAAATCCTCCGGAACCCGTTGTGAGGAAGCGGAAGGGGTGGAGCGGGGCCGGGCAGCGGCGGCGGCCATGGCCACGGCGGGGGCACCGGAGGGAAGCGAGCCGGGATGCGAGCCGGGATGCGAGCCGGGATGCGAGCCGGGATGCGAGCCGGGATGCGAGCCGGGATGCGAGCACTACCGGCGGGGCTGCCGGCTGCGGGTGGGTGAGCGGGGCGCGGCCGTGCCGCGGCAGGGCTGGCGGCCGATCCGCGGCGCCCCGGTCCATGCCCTGTCCTTCCGTTCGCAGGCACCGTGCTGCGGGAAGCTGTACCCGTGCCGGCTGTGCCACGACGGCGCCGAGGAGCACCAGCTGGACCGGTTCCGGGTGTCCGAGGTGCAGTGCAGCCGCTGCCGGCTCCTGCAGAAGGTGGGCGCGGGGAGGAGCGGCAGGGCTCAGTCCCGGGGGCACCGCGCTGGGTCATGCGGTCCCACCGCCCCGCTCCATGCCGAGTTATGGCCCGCTGGTGTGTCAGGGAGGTTTGGGTGGGATGGGGGGAAAGGGCTCTTCACCCAGCGGGCGGTGAGGCGCGGGGCTGGGGTCACGGCCCCGATCCTGGCAGAGGGCAGGAGGCGCCAGGGCAGCGCGCTCAGGCTCCCGCTGGCGTGCTCGGAGCTGCCCTTTGCGGGGCTAAGCGACGGGCATGGCGAGCCTTGTGGGGCCCTTTCCAGCTCAGGATGCTCAGAGCATGTGGCAGCGGGGCTGTGTCTGAAATATCTCCAGTGAGGGAGACTCCACAGCCTCTCTATTCCACGCCACAGGAAGGAAGCTTTTCCTCCTGTTCAGGTGGGACTGCCTGTGCATCAGCTTCTGCCCATTGCTTCTTGGCCTGTTTCTGGGCACCACAGAGCAGAGGCCGATTCCATCCTCTTGGCACCTTCACATCCCTCCAGACATCGATGAGATGCCCTCAGCCATCCCTGAGCGGGCCCAGCTCCCTCAGCCTGTCTTCTCCAGGCTGTTGACAGCTTCTTAGCTCTCAGCTTTGCTCCAGGAGCTCCACGCCCCTCTTGGAGCCTGGAAGCGGGCGCAGCACTCAGGATGTTCGTGTCCCCTCAGGCCCAGCAGCGCTGTGAGGGCTGTGGCAGCCTCTTTGGGGAGTACTACTGTGACATCTGCCACCTGTTTGACCGTGACAAGAAGCAGTACCACTGCCAGGAGTGCGGCATCTGCAGGTGCGTGTGGGCGGCGGGCCCGGCTCCGCGGGCACCGGCTCTGCCCTGACACCTCTCTCCGCAGGATTGGCCCCAAGGAGGATTTCTTCCACTGCTCCAAGTGTAATTTGTGCCTGAGCCTGAGTCTCCAAGGAAAGCACAAGGTGAGGATACGCTGCTTACCTCCCTATCTCAAAAGGTAATGCCTTGAACATGAAGCTGGATGGGCCTCAGCCCCATCTGAGGCCACAGGAACAGGGAGAGAAGTGGGGTCTCCTTCTCTGAATTCACCTAACAGCAACACAGATGCCACTAATTGAAGACATAATAAATTTTACATATTGGAGCTTTACAGTGTAGGAAAACACAGAAAACTACACAGCCAAATAACGTTTTCTTCTCTTTTTCCATTTGCAAAGTGTATTGAAAATGTCTCCAGGCAGGATTGTCCAATATGTTTGGAGGTGAGCAGCTTCTTTTCATCTCCTGGATAACTGTGTGGCCCTATTTTTGACTGTGTGTGAATTAATTTTCTTCTTTTTCATCTTATATTTGACTCCAAACAGGATATTCACACATCTCGTGTTGGAGCCCATGTTCTGCCGTGTGGTCACCTCCTTCACAGGTAAAGCAGACACCTGAGAAAGGGAAATACCTGCAGCATTGTGCTGGGTGTTTATTCAGCAGCATTCAGTCTGGACCAGTTGCTTACAACTGGTTTCTGAGGCACCTGCACTGTGGGGACGGTCTGTTTGTCCAGGAAGTATTTTCTGTACGGGGGTTGTCTTCCTTCTCAGTCTGCTTTGACAGTGTGAAGCTCTCCTGTCACTTGGCCTAGGGATGTTCTTAATTTCTGCCTTGGGGATACCCGTGTGGCTTATTCCCTCTGTGCAGTCCAGGGGTGTTCTCTGTCAGTAATTCCATTCTTCTTACTGATATTTGTTTCCTTTTCAGGACATGTTACGACGAAATGCTGAAGGAGTAAGTATTTCCAAACATCTTTCCTTTCAGAGTATTACCCTAGTCCAAACATATTGCTTCAAGAGGTAAAAATCACAATGCCAATTCTGTACCAACTAACTTAAAGACAGCTTCTAAAGGCATGAAGGGCTAACTTAAAGGGTTAGAGGGCATTTCACCTCCAGTTCTGTTTGCCAGAACTTGCTGCTTCATGCTGTTTGTTTGCCTGGTGCAGTGTGAAACTCGTCCCTACCTACGAACTTGTTTCATGGTCTGCCTTCATCTTCTGATTGAGACGTTCCCCCCTCTTTCTGCCAGAGGCTACAGGTGTCCTTTGTGCATGCACTCGGCGTTGGACATGACCAGGTACTGGCGCCAGCTGGACAACGAGGTGGCACAGACTCCCATGCCCACGGAGTACCAGAACATGATGGTGGAGGTAAGAGGGCAGCCTTGCCCGGTTTTCACGGAGCTGTCCCTCAGAGTTGCTGGCAGTAGAGGGCACTAGGGACCAGTGCTGGATCGGGAGCCAGACCAAGGGGCGGGGAATGCCGAGGAACAGTCACATATAGGCTCGGGGTGTTCATCATTCCTGTTTATATCCACGCACTGCTGGTGCTGCAGCCTCTCCCTCCTGCCTCCCCTGTGTGTGTGCAGATCCTTTGCAACGACTGCAATGCCCGCTCCACGGTGCAGTTCCACCTTCTGGGCATGAAGTGCCAGAGCTGTGAGTCCTACAACACGGCCCAGGACGGGCGGTGCCGGCTGTCCTTGGAGGAGCAGTGACCGGGAGGCGCGCGGCGTTCGGCCGGACGGGCAACGCTGGGCCCTGGCAGAGACTGTTTTGCAAACAAAGCAACTCTTGTGTCACTAAAAATTCCAGTATTCCAAGTTTAAGGAGTCCTTTACTGCGTCGGGGAGGAGGCAGGTGAGAGGAGCAGCAGGAGGAGATGTGAGGAGCAGCTGATGCAGCAGCAGGAGGAGTTTTGGGGAAGCTGAAGGGGAAGGGAGGTTGGAGGTGCAGCTCTCAGAGGAAATGGGTCGCTTTGAGAGGCTTTTGGGGCAGCGTGTGAGGACATGGTGTTCCCTGGGAATGATGTGTGTCCACAGGGACAGCGGGCAGGAGTGGCATCCTCGGCTCCCTTCGTGCACTGTCACCTGTGTGGACAGAATTCCCTTGAAACAAGGGAATTGCCCTGCCTGCTGGAATGACCAGCTGGAAGATCCAGGTGCAAAGCCCCCCTTTTCCCCCTGGGCACCCATCCTGACTCGCTGTCCTCCCTCTGCTCAGATTCCTTTGCCAGTTGCAGTTGCTTTTTCCCCCGTTTCTTCCTCATTTTGCACTGTTCACTGGCAAAGGCCGAGGTGGTGTGGGGTTTGAGACATGTACATAGCTGCATTTTGCTGGTTAGGTACCTAAAGTGAAGCACACCTTCACATCAGGCCGAGCCTGAGGTGTTCACTGAAATAAAGCAGTCCAGGGTCCAATTTTCTGTGGTTTTGGTGTTTGTTAATGGTAGAACTTCAGTGTGGGGAGAGAATGGGAGGGGGGGTGAACGGCTGCCTTTTGAAAGAAATAAAAACCCACCTCCACCCTCTTTCATGTAACATCCTGCCTGAGGTGTTTTGCAGTCTTAAATATTGCAGAAAGTCCTTGATTTCTGTGAATCTCACATGCAGATACTTACAATAATAAGATTTTAAAAAGGGTCCGTTACTCTTCAGGTTTTAACTACTCATTTTTAACTTGTTCTGTTGTAAAATGAGCTTTTCTTAATCCAGCAGTGCCCGGTTTCTGTAGGGAATATTTAGGATTTGGATGGTAGCTATTGTAGCTTGCCTTGACTGGGGTATCTTTTTCTGGAGCACTTTTCTCACTGCTATAAATAAATGTAAAATAAGGTCTCTATTAAAATAAACAAACGACGCTGTGCGTGATGTGCTCTTCTTTCACACACGTACTCCCTGGAAATTCCCAGCTGAGTTTAAACCATGATTCAGTGCTGAAAAATGGTTGGATGTGGGGAGGTGTGAGGCCCGAGACACTGTTAGGAAAATAAGTGCTTTATTTTTTAAAAGCTCCTGTGTTTTCATGGTTTTGTTCTGTGGTTCAAGCAAGACTCTCTGCTGCTTTGGTTGGCATCTGGTGACTCCATCTCCTTCCCTGGGTAAAGACCTGCTCCCAGGTAAGCCTGGAAGTGCCAGTGGGGCTCCCATCAGCCTGCAGGAGTTGTCATCCCAGAAGACTCTGGCCAAGTAGCCTTGGAGTGTGTTGCTAATGGTAAAACCATGCTGGTCAAATCCACAACCGAGCAGGTTAACTGTTAAATGGGAAGCTAATTTTATTCCAATTATTAACTGGAAATATTCTTGTTTGGGTTCCAACCACAAGAGGAGGCTGAAAGAAAATTCTTAGTTGAGCTGAGCTTTGGTGTTGGGAAGGAAAATTATTCATGGTGTGGGATCCAGGTTATTTCCAACTTTTGCTCTCCTGTTTTTGGTGTTTGCCTCTGGAAAGTGCACGAGGGAATGTGAACACTGAGGGAATGCTGAACCGCTGTTTGGCGTGTTTGTCTTGGCACCGAGCCCTCAACTCTCTTTGCCAGGGAATAAATGGCACCACAGGAAAAGGAATGGCATTTTCAGGGGATAAAGGGCAATGGAGGGGGGGATAAAGACAAGTAAGGAGCTGCTTTATGGGATGGGAGATGCTGTATGAAGCTTTGCTGCCCTGTTCATGGAGGTGCAGCCAATGGGAGTGGGAAGGATGCTGGGATCGGGGCGATGAGAGGATCCAGGGATGGCAGCAGCAGCTGCCTTGGCCACAGCTTGCCCTTGGGCTATGGGAGCTGTTGAGAAGCTCCTGCACTCCCTGGCACCTGGAATCCTGCCTTGCTCACCCATCCACACCACAATCAGGAGCAGATGGGATTACTGCTGCTTTGTGGGAAAAAAGTGGAGTTCCAGCAGGCTCAGGGCTGTGGCCACACTCAAGGTCACGGAGCTATTAATAAAGGCAGGGCCTGCCGAGGTCTGTGGAACGTGGGAGGAGGGACTCGGGGAGGCAGCAAGTGGAACAGTGCAGGGCTGGGGGGGCTCTGCTGGACCCTCCATCCCATGGGAAGGCACAGGGACATGGCTCAGGAGCTGTGGGGGAGTGAGGATCTCGAATTTTGGACTGGTTTGATGCCTCTGGTGTGGTTTTGGCTTGCTGCAGTAACATCACGTGGGATGGAAGTGGGGTGTTCTGTGTTAAACCTCTGGTTCAGCCACCCCTTCCTGGGGCTGACATCTCACCCCTGCCCATCTGATTTTGAATCTCCAGCTGGAAGGGATGCAGTGGGGGAGAGGCTCCTCAGTGTTGTGCTGTTTACACCTCAGAGGGGCAGCCCTGAGAGCATCTGTCTCTGCAGAGCTCAGCCCAGGGGTGTGCTGGGACCTCCGTGCTGGAAATGGGGCGGTTTCCTTGGATCTGCTCCTCCATGGTTCCAGCTGGAGGTGGGTTCTGACACCTGAACCAATTCCTGTGCCCAAGCAGCAGCGGGGAGGCTGCAGCCAGGAGCTACTCCCTGCTACTCACTCCGGTAACTCTGTGCTTGGAAAGGTGGGTGATTGATGGGAATACTCACAAATGAGCCAAACAAGAGCATCATTAGGGAGGCCAGAGGGAGTCTGGAAGTGGTGATAAAGCTTCCAGCCGCTGGCTCTGCGGTGAGGGCAGGGCAGGAGAGCCGGAGCGGGATCGCGGCATGGCCGGCGCCGCGGGTTGGGAATGGGATGTTCCACACGCACGGAGCTATGCCAGCTATTTTTTTCCTATATAAATAAAATAGCTCCGAGATGAAACGGAGCCAAAGCGGGGTGAGGGAGTTGGGAGGAGGTGGAATTGAGCCAGAGATGTGGGAGCCTTTGGGAAAAATGGGAATTTGCTGGTTTTGCACATGAAGCAAGTCGGTAGCAGGGTTAACCCCGCTGATTTTTAAAAAAGGAGAAAGGCCTTTTTTAGAACATGTCCTGGTTGCTTTTTCCCTGCTATACTGGTGTGGGATAGAAACCCCTCGATAAGCCAGAGGGCCTGAGGTGGGAATGTGAGAGGGGTGTTTGAAGCCATTGCCTGGAACACAGGCATCCTCCCTCTGAGGGCATTACACCCCAAAATAAAGTGTTTTTTCCACTTGGCAAACACATCTGTTATTCCCTAGGCTGCCCTGTGCCTTGGCTCATGCTGCCAAACAGTCCTGCAGATGGAAACACATTGTCCATGTCCATATCATCTGTGTCACTGGGGATGGTGTCTGATCCCAGAGAGGTGAGGAATTTCTTTTCACCCCGGGATATCCCCAAAAATACGTACAGCTCCTTCCTTGCATTGTAGGGCAAGAGAGAGTAATTCATTTTGAGGATCCAGGCACAGGGTTGAGCAGGAAAACAGATCCCATTTGTGTCCTTCATGAAAAAGGAATTTATTCCCTTGGGGTTATATACTTTTAATTGAAGGTGATGGCTTTTCCTCTCTCTTTATTCCCTCAGTTTGGCAGCAGCAGAACAACACCCTATTTATTTCCAGAGAAGAAGGGTGGTTGTTTTTTAATTCAGTTGGTGGCTTTTCTTAGCCAAGGTAGCCTAATTTGCTGCTTCTCAGGTGCCAAAAAGGTGAAAAGGAATTTTGCTCATCATAAGCATCTTCAGAGCCTGTGCTTCCCTGTGTATGCTCCCAGCCCCAACAGTTTTCCAGGCTGGCCGTGGCTGGGAGGTGCAACAACCATCCACAGGTTTATTTTCCTGTTTTCACCAAGTTTGAACTAAAAGGAGGTTGAGGGACTGCACAGGCTGAAAAAGGCTCAGGAGGAAAAGGAAAATGCACTATGATTGCACTTCCTTTTGGGAAGCAGAGCTGCCCTCATTTCTCCTGACCTTTCCAGGTGCCTGTTGTGGCGCCGGCCGCGTTTGCTGCACTCACTTGGTGGAAATCCGGAGATGATGCATCTCTCATTGCAGGAAGCAATCATGGAAACGCCCCAAGCTTTGATGTTTCCAGGGATGCTCCATCTGGGAGGCAGGGTGAACAGCAGAACCTGTTCCCGAGCCTGCACCACCTGTACCAGGACACCCCAAAACTTTGCAGCATCATTCAGGGCTGGTTTGTTTCTTAAGGCCACATGGGCTGAGGGCTTTGCTTTCCACTGCCAGGGAATTTAGCCAGAGGGAGAAGTGGCTGAGCATCCCCTTCCCAAACCAGCTCTGCCATCAGCCACCCCCAGCCTTCCCACACTAAAAGCTGAAGACGAATTGGGGATGAAAAGAACACTCCGCTCCTTTTTAGCAGCCAAGTTTTTTTGAGGAATGGAAACAAAGCTGTGGAGCAAGCAGCCACGTGTGTGAAATGAATGGTCAGTGCATCTTCCCATGGGCTCCTGGGCTGCTTTTGGGACCAAAGCCCCTACAATTAAATGGAAAAAAACTTAAATTAGGAACTTCTGCATGGAAGCACCTGCAGGAAAGGAAAGGAAAGGAAAGGAAAGGGAGCAGTGACTGAGCGGCCCCAGAACTGTTCATGATTCCTGGGGAGACAAGGCAAAGGATTTCATAGCAGGGCAACACAGGGGAGTGATTTTAGGGGAAGGGACATGTGAAAGCACGGGAGACCCCAGCACACTGCTGGCTCTGGCTCAGCAGACCCCCACTCCCCCCCACCAAATCACAGAGCAGCAGCATTTCCAAAGATGCCACAGCACTGGCTGAACCTCCATCCTCTCCCTTGACCTCCCCAGCCCTTCCCCCTGGGGAATTTGGCTTCCCTTGTCTACAAGAAGTGGCTGAGCTGCCCCAGGACCTGGTTTCCTGCTCAAAGGCCAACCAAAATTCAGGTTTATTGTCAGCACTGCACGGCTGCCCTCCAGTTCCTGCCATCCACCAGCCCCACTGTAATCCTGCCTGAGGCAGGGGCTCCATGCCCGGCATCTCCTCGACAGTGGATGCTCTGCTGCAGAAGCGCTTATAAATTAAGGGTTTATGGGGTTTTTTCTCTTCATCCCTGCTAGGAATCATCATAGAGAGGGTTGTTGTAGTTGCCCCAGGAGCCGTAGTCGTGGTCGTCCAAAAGCCGTCCGTAGGAAGAGTGCCTGCCAGGGAAAGCAATCCTGGGGTTACTTTGAGGATTTATTACTTACTTTGCCAAGGGATGAAGAAATATTAACACAAGGGCTCCCTAGGTCATGCTTTGGGATGTTTTAAGAGGAAGGACCAGGAGAAAGGAAGTGAAGCCCCAGCTGAGTTTTGCCCCCATTGAATGAGCCTGGACAGGGCAGGGAATTAAAACCAGACCTTTGCTCATCTCAGCTTTCAGCAAAGGCTCATTAGGGATGCTCAGCACTGGGCTCTGCTGCTGTTTATTGTCCCAGTGACAGCGAGACCCACGGCAGCAGCTTTCCCAAGGGATAATTACTGGATATGACTATGCTGAGCAGCATCCCTGGCATTTGAGCAGGGCTGTTGTAAAATGAGGGATCCAAACTCCGCTTTCCAGTACAGGAGCGGTAAGAAACGGAGCCCTGCTGGCACCAGAGGCCACAGATTGCCCTGCCAGGCTTGGGGACAGCATCTTCCTAGCACTTAGCATCATCCTGGTGACAGTGAGATGGAGCCTCCGGGAGGGGGGGAAGCCCAAAACCAGCCTTACCTGATCTTGAGGTACGCGGCTGCCCCGAACACCAGCACCACCACCACGATGACCGTCACGGTTATGGCCACGATGCTCCCTGTGCACAAAACACCAGAAGGGGCAGGGTTCAGCCCCACCACGTGGAGACTCAGCTCCACATCCCACACCCCAGCTGCTCCCAGCTCAGCCACAGCAGCCATCTCTGACGGGGGGAATATTCCCTCAATGATTCCCAAAGAGGAGGCTCGCCCCCCCTCTGTTTTGGCCATGAACCCCTTCCCATAAATGCAGAGCAGGAATATGTAGGATGAAACACAGCTTGGGCACTATGGACTCGCCCTCTGATGCTCCTCCCAGCACTAGGCAGCATTCATTGCTGAGCCAAGGCTAGAAATGCTCCACGTCTCCCCTTTTCCAGCCACGTGGAGCCATTTTAAGCTACCCGTGTTTGCACAAGGGGATGGGGAGAAGCTCATGACAGCTTCCTGACCTCTCCAGGAGGGAAAATTAAAACCTCCATCACCCTAACTCAGGCTGCACCCACCATCCAGCCGTTTGTTTCCCTTCATCCTGAAGTGTTTCAAGTCAAATTTAGAGCTGAGGATTTTATTCGCATCTCCAGGCAACCGAGATTTGTTATCTACCACTCCTGGTCTCTGCCAGTGGATCAGATGACACGGGCTCCTCCAGGAATTTTGCAGAGACATGCTCTGAGGAAGCTGAGCACCTTTTCCCTTCCAGTGTGGGGCTCTGAGCACGCTGAGGCTGTCATTCCCCACGCACATGGGGAGCAGGGGAGCTCACCTGCACTCAGGGCACGTGGCACCTCCTCCATGGTGACTCCGGTGGTTTTCTCCGAGGCCGTGGCCTCGGCTTCCGTGGGGCTCATCTCAGTCACTGGGGGGGATGTTGGCTCCATGGCCAGGCTCGATGCCATGGCCAGTGTCCCCAGGGAAGGGACATCCTTGCTCAGCAGCTGGGTGGCAGCAGGGCTCATGGGCGTCGGGGACGGGCCCATCCCAGGAGGTGAGGTGGGGTCGTGGGTGGGAAGGGAGGAGGGAGGTGATGGCATGGCCGTGTCTGTGGGGCTGGAAGCTGCCCCCAAATCCTCGGTGCTTCCTGCCAGGCTGGCGGTGTTTGCTGTCCACGGAGCCGGGGCCGCCTCCGAGGCGGGTGGCACCGAGCCGGGGCTGGAGGCTGCGGTGACAGGAGCAGGGGACAATGCTGCCACCGGGGCGCTGGCATTGTGGCCATCCCCCTCCAGGGGCCTGGAGGACGTCCCATCTCCGGAAGGTCCCGTGGACAAGGGCAGCTCGGGCTGGCCTGGAGCTGGTGTGGGGACATCCCTGGAGTCTGGTTTCACTGGGACACCCCCCCAGAGGAAGGGGGAGCGGATGGGGATGTGGGGTGACTCTGGGGAGTCATGGCCCAGTCCTAGGAGTGAGACAAAGAAATGTTAACGACAGGGCAATCCCTGGGGCAAGCTGGTGCTTGGGAGAGCACTAAAGGGCTTGGGAATTGAGCTGGAAATAAGTTTAAGAATGGTGAGAGCCATCTAAAATAGAGGGGAAATACAGCTGTGTACCTAGAGGTGAGGTTTAAACCAGACCAGTTGTCCTGGTATAAATCAGCCCCACTTTCCCCCCAGTTTGGGATACCCCCATCACCCCAGTCACCCCCTCCAGTTCCCCAGCACCTCCCTCCAGCAGCAGGGGAAGAAGCTCCTGCTCACAGCAGCCACTGTGCAGCTGGGAGTGATAACACAAGATGCCTCTTTCTCCTCTCCCCCCATTTCCTTGTGCATTCATTCTCTTGTCTCCATTTCTTAGCATGAAGATGAGTCATTTCTCCCTCTGTCCCCACCAGCTGACTGCTGGGGCTTTTCCCCCCCTTTCTAGGGCTGAGCTCAGCACTGGTCCAGCACTGGCCCCCTTCGTGTGGTTGGGATGAGGGAAGAGTGTGCCAACACTGCATGACATCGGGAGGCATTTTTATTCCATGTATTCATCGATTTACATCCCCCAGAGCATCCCAAGCCCAGCGCTGGGAAGAGCAGGAGCTCACTCCAGCTGCAATGAACTAATCAGGAGTGGGGAGGATGGAAACATTCAGTGCCTGTGTGTAGAAACAATGGGATCTGGCACTGGTGAGCAGGGACTCATTAATCCAGCCAAAATTGCTTTTTTTGGTTCTGTGGATCTCCATGTGGAAGGACCCCGTTTCCCAAGCAAAGGGGTCTTGGAGGTGGGATTGAGGCTGTGGCTACTCTTCTCTCCTGGGGACAAGCTCTTGGAGATGGCTCTGAGCTTTCACCCTCCTCAGGCCAAGGACACAAACCGTGGGACAGGGAGGAGGAGAGGAATGACAGGCTGGAATCTGGTTACTGAATGAGCCACCACAGCAGCAGGGAGGCCTGCACCAAGGACCCTTCACACCACGGTTCAGAATCCATCTGTATTTCAATCTTTTCACACCTGGGCCTTTCAGATTTCTCCAGCAGGTACCAGGCAGCCTCTGCAGCCCAACAAGCCCACCAGACACAGCAGGATCCTCCCAGCACCTCAGGAGTTTGTTACCTCTGTAAATGCAGATGCTCCTGGTCCCTCAGGGACACAGGCAGCTTTCCACCTCCCTGCAAAGCCACCCTGATGTCCCAAAGTGCTTGGGGTCAGCAGAGCTCCCATGACCTGCCTGAACTTTGGAGGCAGCCCAATGGGCAGCGCTGCCCGCCGGGATGAGTCAGGAACTTTCCAATCACATCTGAGGGGCACAAATTCGGAGACTGAGCCAGAACTGGAGGCAGGAACAATCTCTGGCTGCTTGCTGAGCGCTCCCAGCCAAGGAGGTCACAAGTCACAGGGACTCTTCCCAGGAGGGCAAGGAAGCTCAGCTCAGCCCTGGTCTTCCCTGCCTCTCCCTGCGAGCACGCCCTGCCCGTGCCAGCGCTGGACTGTCCCCTGCCTCCTCCAAGCCATCGGCTCCATAGGAGATCTGGGAGCCAGGCACTGCCCTTGGGCTCTCACCCAGAGGAGATAACCCCAGGAAATCCCCGCCATGATCCGAGAGGCAGCGCAGGCTGCTTGTGAATGGGGTGAGGATTAAGGGACAAAAGGGTCGAGGACCCCCTTGGCTGGTGTTCCGTGTGTCCCCATCCACATCCCTGCAGCCTTGTCTGCACGTCCTGTCCTCTCACCAATGCGTCTGAAAGGGAAAACCAAAAGGAAAACCAAAGCCAAGCAGAGCTCTTCTTCGTTTCCCCAACATCCCATCTGCAGGAGCTGCTGCTGGAGCCCTGGGACAAGGGACAAACCAGACAGCTACAACACCTCACGCAGGACCACGTGGCTTGGAAGGCTAAAAACACCTCCAGCATGGGCTGGCAGAGGCTCTGAGGGATGTTTGCTCCCAGAGGATGCCGAGCATAGCTCAGCCCTGAGGAATTTGCTCATCTAATTCACTCAGGGCAGTTGACCACCCTGCTGGAATCCAGCAGAGAGCGAGGCAGGGTCCTGCCAGGATGAGGTAACCACCTAGGAAAGCACTGGTGTCACACTCCAGAGCCCCACAGGAGCTTTGCCAAGTCCCTTTCCTAGATTTTTGTCACTTGGAATACAGAAAACAGCCAGGGAAAGAAGAACCCAAAACCCTGCCATGCAAATATCCTGCTCTTAGGGGAAGGGGATATTGTTAGGGGATAATCTCTAGGGGAATATTAGCCCTAATCAAGGGCCAACGTGAGGAATGAGCCTGGTGAATTATTTCTCTCTCCTGCTGCCAGGATGCTCTCCTGGCTCCTGGAGGGCACACAGAGGGGCAGGTCTTGCCCTTGCAGGAGCTGAGTGATGCTCGTGCTCCTCTTGGGAAAGAGCTGCTTGACCTGGGCTGGCAGCCTCTCCAGAATGCTTTTCCCAGGCACTCCGAAAGCCATTGCAGCGAATCCTGAATTGCTCTGCCAGCTGAAAGGCAGCCTAAAAGCCACCAGAGAACATCTCCAGCCCGAGTGAATGACATCAGGCCGGAGCAGCAAAACAAACATCCAGGGATAAGGCAGAGCTTTCAGCAAGCTTCGCTTCCGAGCTCGTGGCCTCTGACACAGCCACAGGAGACCACAGGAGCCATCCCACACTGCTGCTCCCAGCCCACATTGACTGGAGCACCCAAGCCCCAGCTGCAGCCAGGGGTGCTCCTCCAGCAGCCAAGGCCAAAGGGATAATGCAAGTTTCCATAACACGGGCATTAATTTGTTCTGAGCGCCCTTGCACGAGGAATCTCGCCACCTGCTCCCAACAAGAAATGTAACAACAGCAGGAAAACAAGGAGAGCTGCTGGACACACACACAGCACTCTCTGCTTGTGCAGCCAGCTTGGGTACCACTTTCCATGCCAGTTTAGCAGCAGGCAAACACCCAAAAACCACAAGTAACCAGAGCATGCTGTAAAGAGTAAGCATCACTGCCCTTTAAAGCAAAGTTCTGTAGAAACCTCAGCCTTTAATCACAGGAGTGAGCAAAAAAAGACCTTTTGCTGGTCCTGCATCATGCTGCTCCTCACCAAATGCTGATGACAGAACAGCCCTGAGTCCCCTGAGTGTGCCATGGTGTATAACCAGGTTAAGTGATGCAGAGCAATAAAACAATCTAGATGTAAATATAAGTAAGGATTTCCTGCTCATGACCTCGTTGGCTCAGCTTTTGTTTCTGTGGCTGGGGATTCCCATAACTTGTGCTGGTTTTTGGTAGTTCCCCTCCCCCTTGTTAATGCTCAGGTATGGTTTCCATTGTATTTCTTTGCTGTAAAACCAGCAGCATCTGGCTGTAGATGTCCTCCTTAGAGTAGCTAGGACTAAGCCAAACTGGTTTTTGCTTTGGGTTCAACGAGTTTTTCCAGCTGTTCATCCCTGCACTGCCTCACCTTCCCTGTCCCCATGCAGTTTGGGATTTGGGGATGTTCACTTCTCTCTGCAGTGCACAGGGCTGTGCCTGAGCTCTGTGCCGATGTGGGGGAAGGAACACAGAGGATGTGGTGGTTGGTTTGGGCCTTTAACTTAACTTTAACTGGTGTCTTTCTTTTTCTGGGGCACTGTTTGGACTCCTGCCTCGTTATCCCCAAGAAACAGGGATGATGGGAAGGTCTGGGAGCAGTTCTGCAGGCTCTGAGCTGTGTCTCACACTCGCCAGGATTTTCATGCCATCACAGAGGGAGCACCCAGCAGGATCAGTGATGGGAAATGCTGACTCCTGGGAGCATCTCTAGCTGGAGGTGTGCAGCAAAGCTCCAGCACTGCATGTGAGTGCTGGTGACCCCCAGTGTCAGCAGCAGCACCCCTGCCTGATGTGCTGCTCCACTCTTTCCTGCTCTATCCCCTCTGTTTTCAGCGCCAGGGTCTGCCGGCCATGGTATGAAACCAAGGGAGAAAACCAGAGGCCAGAAACACCAACAGGTAAAAGGCAAAGCTGTTCCCTGCCCGTGAGAAGAAGCCAGGGCCATCAGATCCAATAAATCTGCAGTTGCTCTGATTTACTGGCAAGCCGAGCTGGCTTCCTGCATGATTAGTTTTATTCTGCTGCATGGTCATTAAGTGGCTGAGCTCTAATTGCTCTGAAGCTTTCTGTAGCTAAGAGAAACAGCTGCACAAGAGAAATCCGTGTGTCCCTCACCATCCCAAGCCTCTGTCCCAGCCATGAGGCCTGGCTCACTCCTGCTCACCCTCCAGAGCCTGAGGAATGCTGTTGTGGGCAGACCCCCCTTGAGGAGGCACGAGGGAAGCTCCAGCACTCTGCAGTTTCGGCTCTTCCCAGCTGAAAATAGCTTTTTTTTTTTTTTTTTTAATTCACATGGCTCCTTGCATGCTGCATGCTCCCTCCTTCCTTGCCTGGAGTGGGTGTTCAAGTTCTTCCCTGCCCCATGATCCAAACCCAGAAGTGAGGATTTGTGGTGGCACGACAAACCCATGCTCCACCCAAGGAAAAGATGGTGTTTCCCCCCTCCAAAGCTAAGTGTTGCTCAATTATTCAGCTCATTAAGCCCTTGGTGCTGATGCTGCAATGAAATTATAGCAGAAAAGAAGGCAAAGAGGAATTTTTAGGTGTTTTTTTTTTCTCCTGAGAGTGACCAAACAACCTCTGGCTAGTGGTCAGCCTGTACAGCCAAAGGTGTCTGATGGGGTGGAAAGCAGTAGCTGACAGCACCAGCTCTTTCTAAAATGCTGTCTTGCCTCTTTAAATGAAAAACACATACGGTATTTCAAGTTATATTCTTGAAACATGCCAAAAGGTGTTGATGCTGTGCTGATTCCCCCTGGGGAAGGGGAATAAAGGATCCCATGGGATGCTCTTTGTTGTCTCCTTGGGCTGGGAGCTGGCAGATGGACCTGCCTGCTTGGGACACCTCACGAGATTTTTCCCAGGCACATATCTTGGATATGGCTCTGGAGCCAGGCAGGAGTTTTGCAAGAAGCAGCTCTGCCCAGGTGACAACTCCCCAGTTCCATAATTTTCCTGGCTGGCTGCTAATTAGTGCTTCCAGGTGCAGCTTCCAACATGCATCAGCCCCATCCCAGCCCCTCCCTGGGGGGAGAAGCAACTGGGTTCGGCAGAGGAATTTTAGAGCATCCTCTGCTATTAGAGGCTGATTGCTCATTTGGGCTGGGAGAGGGGATAATTACCCAACCCCCCCATCCTTCAGCTCATGGGGGAGCAGAGTGCTTGAAGATTTGCCTCCTCAATGGCAGCTTAAAACAGCCCATGAGGCTCTTCCAGCCCAAAAAGCAGCTCTTCCAGCCCAGAGCCTCCCCGAAGAAGCACTCAAAACCTTCAAGGCCAAAATCTGCTTCTAAAAGGTACTTAAAAATGTCTCAGCTGGGGCACAGGGGGAATTGGTGAAGGGGAGAGCAGGCTTGGGGCTGGGCACCAGGTCAGGAAAGCAAAACAGGTTTCAATTTACATCCAGAGTAAGAAGTAATAACAGGATAAAAACTTCCTTGTGCAAGACGCTGTTATTTCATTACGTGGCCAGGCAAAACCCAGACTTATTTTATTCCTGGCCAGTGACGTCCTTGATGTCATTTAGTCCTGCAGAATGAGCTTGAAGCATATTTAAATCGTGCTTGGTGTTTCCTCCCAAGTGATATATATATATATATACACACTGTTTTTTTATTTTGGTTTTTTTTTTTCCAAAAAATTTTTAAGTGGGGACAAAAATGTTGTAGAAAGCATCTGAAAGATGCTCGAGGGCCGTTTGGGAGCAGACTGAGAGACGTGGGATCAGGGTCCAGGGAAATCTTTTCTGTTCCTTCTGCCAAGCCTGGCTGGCGTTGGTGCTTTGGAGAGGGATGGTCGTGGGAACAGCTTTGGGTTTGGCCCGGGCGCTGGGAAAAGCCCGCCTCCCAACCCCAAAGGCTGACTCCCGACAGAGACCGGCTGCTTTAGGGACAAATTTGGGCCAGCGAAGGAGCAAAATGCTCATCCCCATCCCTCCCGAACACATTTTCTCGGGAAGCACAGATCAGGAGCTCGCCGGCAAATCCCCCCTTTACAGGGCTAATTATTCATCCAGCTCTCCCTGATCGGCTCTCAGTGATCCGGGGAAGATGTCCGGGCTGCTGACGCGGTCCGGGGTGATGGTTCGGGGTCCCGCGGCCACGACCTGCCCAGCTGCGGGGCTGGGGAGGAGCCGCCGCTGCCTGCGGGCTGTGGCAGGGAGCTGAGCCCCGGCCCGTGTCGCTGCTCTGCCGGCAGCAATGTGACAGCGACAGCTCAGCCCATGGATTCCTCCTCGCGCGCAGTGTCCCCGGTTATGCAAGTGTGTTTTCCATGTTCCCGAGCAAGCGGCTCCTCGTGTTTATTAAAAGCCCAGCCTGGGCGGGCGGAGGGGTGACCTGAGCTCGCTGTCGCATCAGCCGGGGACAGAACTGTCCCCGCTGAGCGTCTCAGTGCGGGAAGATGCCAAAATCGGGCGTTTCTGTGGGATGGGGAGCCTGGTGCCGCCGGGGGGAGATGCCGGGGGCTGGGGGCGTGAGAGCCTGGGCTCAAGGCCAGGGAGAGCCGTAAAAGCTCCTTGGGAGCAGTGACCGTGGAGGGAAGGGGCATATGCGAGGCTGGCCGTGAGGAGACTCTGGTGGTCCCATCAAGTCGCCCTCCTTCGAGGCAGCCGGGGGAAAGCCGGCTGGAACGCGTCTTGCCCGAGCGCGCCGCTGTCACTGGGGGTGACCCCCCTCCCGGCAGTGCGAGCGGGGCTGGCTCTGCGGAGCCCTTCCCCGGGAAGGAGCCGGGCTGTCCCCGGCAGCCGCGGGGCTCCTCCTGCCCCGCCACCCCCGCCGAGCCCCCTGCCCGTCCCGCTTACCTGCCGGGAGGAGGAGGAGGGCGAGGAAGAGGAGGCGGCAGCAGCAGCCCATGGTGCCGGCGGCGCTGGCAGCCGCGGCGGGAGGGACGCAGCGCCCGGCCCCGCCGCCGCCCGGCCCGGCCCCCGCCGCCGCCCCCCGCCCGGCCCGGCCCACAGCGGCACCTGCCGGCCCCGGGCACCGCCGGGGGAGCGGCACCGGCACCGGGCACGGGATGCTGGGGCCGGTCCGCCTGTGCTGGGATGAGGCGCCGGGAGTGGATGCCGGGTGCCACACGCCGCCCGTGGGCGGCACACGCTGCGCTTGGCGTGCTGCGGGTCACTGGAGCTCGTCCCTCTCGGTTCTCGGGGCCGTGCCGGCTCCCGCCTGAATGTGATGGGGATGTACTGGCACAGGTTGTACAGAGAAGCTGTGGTTGCCCCATCCTTGCAAGTGTCCAAGGACAGGTTGGGCAAGTCTCAGAGCAGCCTGGGCTAGTGGAAGGTGTCCCTGCCCGTGGCAGCAAAGTTGGAACAACAAGGGCTTTAAGGTCCCCTCCAATTCAAACTGCTCTGTGATGCCGTGATTCTGGACCTCCCTGGGGATCCCCTTGCCTGCTGCAGAGGGATCTGGTGCCTGTGGTGGGGGACAAGCCAGGTACATGGATCAAGAGAGCCAGGCAGTCAGGGTCCTGCCTTTCCACGGCACAAACAGCTCCCAAAATGCAGCTTCCAGAGCCCAAAGGATCCAGCCAGGAGACAGACACCTGTGGCACAGCAGGAGGTACAAGGACCATTTTTTTACCTCTTTCCTTCTGGGGAGAGCTGTGCTGTGGGTGACATATTTTCAGGCTGAACTCATCCTCCCCAGGCTTTTGCACGCTCACTATGGAAAAGGATTTTTGGAGCCCGGGCTGTAGCCGAGCTATCTTTACCCGGGGTTACTCAGCCCTCTGTTCTGCTGTGTTGTGTGGCATTTTCTCAGGATGGATCCTGGCCCTGGGCCTAAACCAGCAGGGCACAAAATCCAAGTCAGCTGGCATTCCTGAGGCAGACGAGCGCTATCAGCATCTCAGCTCTCCTTGAAACCTTTCCTCTGCTCGGGAGGAGGGAAAATATTGCTGTTGTTGCCGCCGTGGGAGCAGCGTGCTAATCTCCCTGCTTCCCATCTCGCATCCCTGTTGTCGATGGCGCTGGTGCTTCCATGGGCAGGAATTTTTGGAGCGGGGCCGGGCTGGGCACGGCCGCTGCTCCTCGCCGTGGCCCTGGGTGCGAACGCTGCGCCCGAGCCGAGTTTTGGGGCGCCGAGGGCTGGGCTCTGGCGAGCCCGGAGCTCCCCTGAGGGCCACCAGCCCTGGGCTCCAGCTGCCACCTGCTGGTCACCTCTGCCTGGTCCTCCCGGCACGGAGCAGGGGACACGGCCAGGGAGACGTCCTTTTTTGGGGATAACTTTTGCCAACCCTTTCCCATTGCTGCCGGAGATTGGAAACCATTGCCTCTGGTGACATCTGCCCTGAGGCTCCAGCTCTTTTAATATCTCTTCAAATTGCCTTTTCCCTCCAGTTTTATCCAGATATGAAGGATGCTGGAGGGAAACTTTTCTTTTGATGGGCACTAGGATTTATTTTTTTTTTTTTTTCCTACTCCCTGCCCTTGCCCACCCCACCGGGATGGAGCCAGCTCCTCTTGGGTGGCCCTGTGCCACATCCGGGTGCCAGCTGCCAGTTTTGCTGGTCTTGCCCAAGCCCTCAGCAGAGCTTTTGCACCATCCTTGTGGTTTATCACTCTTTGCCTGCTTTTGGGGGGCCGCTGGCAGGGAGCCGGCGCGGCCGTGAGCCGAGGGGCCGGCGGTACCGGTGTGCCGGAGCTTGCAGCAGGAATTTTTGGCTGGCCAGGGCTAAGGGAGCTTGCTCACCCCCTGGCCAGCGGCCAAATGGCATGGCTGGGCGGCTGCCAGCACTCGCATTAATAGCTGCCAGCTTGCGGTTTGAGGTCACCCGTTCTTTCCAGTCTTTCATTTCCACCTTCATTCGCGCCCGGGGGCTCCGCCGCCGCTCCCTGCCCGCGCCCCTCTCTGCCGGGAGATCCTTCTGTCCCCTTCTGTCCTCTCCTGTCCCCTCCTGTGCTCTGCTGGGAGCCGGGACAGCGCCAGCCCGCGGCGAAGCATCCCTACTGAGCGACCCCGGATGGCAGGAGGGGACACGCCAGCACCGGGGGACACCTTCACCCCTGTGGGTCTCTTCTCCTCCTCAGGGGACCGGGAACATGCCTCCCGAGGCAAAAATGACACCGCGAGGTGTATTTTGCCAAGGCACAGCCCCTTGCAGAATAATTGGGAGCTGCCGTCATTGCCTGCCAAGGCCCTTGGGAGGGTGTTTTACTCGCTGTGAATAAATCTACCTTCCCACAACAAGCTGGCCGGGGATAAACGCTCTGGAGAGGCGCGGCTGGACTGGGGTGTGCGGCCTCTGTCCCTCTGGAGAGGGGATCCCGGGAGCGCCGCTTGGAAGCCGTGATGGCAGGATGGGGGACCCCTCTGGCTGCCCAAATCCCCAGGGATCTGGGGCGCGGCATCTGCTCGACGCCTCCTGGCAGGAGAGGCCAGGCGCGGCCGCTGCGAGGTGGGACACGCGTGGGTGGGACACCCGGGAGGGGACACCGAGACCGCCAGGGATGGCTCCGGCGGGGTGGGAGCCGCGCAGCTGGAGGAGGAGGAGGCGCAGGAGGAGGAGGAGGAGGAGGAGGAGGAGGAGGGCGGTGGTGCCAGAGCGGCCGCCCCCGTCCCGCCCCGCCGCAGCTGCCGGGCACCGGGCACCGGGCAGGCGGCGGCGGCGCGCATGGAGGCGGCGGCGGCCCCGGCCCCGGGCGGCGGCCCCGGTACCCTGCTGCTCTGCCTGGCCCTCGCCTCCGGTAAGCACGGGCGTCCCCCTGCCCCGCCACCTGCCCGGTCCCGGGATACCCAGCGGCTGGCAGGGCGTTCCTCCCTGTCCCGGCCCGGTGCTCCGCGTCCCTGCGCGGTGTCACCTCCACTGTCCCAGCCCGGTGTCACCCCTGCCCCGGCACCGTCCTCTCTCTAGTCCCGCTGCTTCTCGCTCCCAGGCTGATGATCCTGCACCTGCCTCCCGCTCCCATCCCGGTGCTCCCCCGTGCCTGTCCTGGTGCTGGCCCATCCCATCCCGCTGCTCCCCGGCTCCCGTTCTGCTGGACCCTTGTGTTCCCCCCTCTCACACCCCGTCCTGACGCTGGCCCTGTCCCATCCCACTGTTCATCCTGGTGTTTCTCCAGCCCCAGCCCAGAGACTCCCTGTGCCCCCCTGGACAGTCCCATCCCAGCCTTTCCTTTGCCCAGCACTGTCCCTGGGCTCCCTCTGTGCCCCCAGGTCCCATCCTGGAACTCCCCACCGTTCCAATCCAGTGCTCCCCTGCCTCTGAATCCCTGAATGCCTTGGGGCCAGCCTGGGGGCCAGGATGTCCTGGCTGGATCCTGGAGCAGGACCGGGATGCTTTTACCACCTGTTGAAGGGACGCTGCTGATGGGTGCCTGAGTACCCACGGCCGTCCTTGGCAGCGCCGGGAGTGTGGGATGCCGGGGGGCCAGTACCTATCCAGCAAGTGTGTGAGCACTCATTCCCATGTTAGTTCCTAAGATTTTTGGGAAGCAGGCAGCTGCAGACAGGTGTCTGCTGATGGTTGCCAGGAAATAACCACAGACAGGCTGGACAGCTGAGACCCTCCCTGGCAGAGAGTGCCTGCACTGGGATTTCAGGGGAGCTTTTCTCTCTGCAGGGAGCAGCTTGGGTTTGGCCCTTTGGCAGGGCTGGTGACAGCACTTGGCAAAACCTGCCAAACCTGTGCTGGCAGGAGCAGAGCAAGAGTAGCCGACCTGTTTTGGGGCTGGTGTGTCCCCTCAGAGCTCAGTCATGCCCTGGGTGGTTGCTCCCCTACGGTTTGGGCTTTCCTGGGAGAGCAAGGCGGTGTTAGGAGCAAAATAATCCAGTGTTTGGGATACTTTCCTGGGTTATCTCCGGCTGCTCAGGAAAGGCTGCAGCCCGAGATAGTGGAGCCAGTCTCGCCGTGCATCAGGGAGGTGAGGGAGTTTGCACCTGCAGCCTCTGGGTGCCGCGATGCGGCCGCGGGTGGGCACAGCCCCCTCCCTCCGGGGCTGGCACTGCCACCAGGGCGGTCCTGCCAAGGGGCTGCCAGCCCGGAGGATGCCAGAACTCGGCATCTGCTTGCAATAAGGGTGGGGAGCGCAGCTTGGTGGGGATCTTTCCATGTCGAGCTGTGAACTCGGTCACCGCGAGTGAAGTCAGCCTCCCTCCCTCCCTGTCCCGCCGCATGCCCACGCCGCCCACAGCTGGATCCCGGGGTGCAGCCGCCCCATGGCTCATCCCTGGCTCCCGCCAGGCAGCTCCCACCCTGCGGCTGGCCCGGGCGGGGCGGTGGGCTCCCTTTCCTCCCCGCCGGGCTCTCTCGGGGCGCTGTCACCCGCAGCGCGCCGGCAGCGCCGTGCTGGCTATATATAGCCAGGAGGGACGTGTGTGCCGGGAATGTCCCCGCCGTGGCACGGGGGGGGGACTCCGGAGGCTTGGCCGGGCAGCTCCCACCGCTGTTTCCAAGGTGCCGGCTGAGGAAACAGGGAGCGGGAGACGAGGCTGCCGGGATCCGGCTGCGCCAACTCTCCGGGACGCCTCCAAGTGCCCCCACGCGGGATGGCGACAGCCCCGCCTCGGCGGGCCACCTCCTCGGGAGCCACCCGGGCTCCTGCCCCGTCAGGCAGGACCTGTCCCCGCTCTCCGGGTGCCACCTCGGCGGGTGAAGCCCTGGGGAGGGCCGGGCGGGGAGCGGGGCCGTGCTGAGTCAGTGCTGGTATGCCAGCGATCCGGTTACCGCCGCTCCGACGCGCCCGCCCCGGCCGCCTCTCGGTTTCAGCCCGGGGCCGCGGGGAGACGGCGGTGGCCCCTTTCCCCTTTCCCAGGTTGTGCGGGGCTCCAGGGAGACCTCGGAGCACCTTGCGGTGCCTAAAGGGGCTCCAAGGGAACTGCAGAGGCGCTTGTCGCAAGGGCACGGAGTGACAGGACAAAGGGGAACGGCTCCGCACTGACAAAGGGCAGGTTTAGATTAGATACTGGGAAGGAATTCTTCCCAGGCTGAGGAGGGTGGGGAGGCCTTGGCACAGGTTGCCCAGAGAAGCTGTGGCTGCTCCATCCCTGGGAGCGTCCTAGGCCAGGTTGGACAGGGCTTGAACCAACCTGGGCTAATGGAAGTTGTCCCTGCCCGTGGCAGCAGAGTTGGAACGAGACGAACTTGGCAGTCCCTTGCAGGCCAAGCCAATCAATGATTCCATGAGTCCGGATCTCTCTGGGCATCCCTCCCTGCATCCTCCCCGGGCAGAGGAGCAGCTGGCTGGGCTGTGTGGTCCAAAAAGCCACCCCGCTGGCTCCCAGACCTCCGTGCCGGGGCGTTGCTGGGTGGAGGCAGCAGGCGGGGACCGGCTTCCCCTTCTCCCGGCCCTGGGGAAAAGCTGATGCTGCCGGCGCAGGGGGGCCGTGGGCGCAGCTGCAGAGCCCGCTGCCAGCGCCCCCCCCCGTGGCTGTGGGGGGTGCCGGGGTTCCCCTCTGAGCTGCCTCCGCCGCCTTCCAGGCTTGGCGTGCTTCGGCTGCGTGGGCGCCGACACCAACGCCACGGCCGGCCACGGCGCCGAGGGGCTGAGCTGCGGCACGGCCAAGGGATGCACAGGTGAGGGGGTGGTGTGGGGGTGCTGGGGGAAGCCGGAGGCCTTGGAAGGGAGCGGGGGAGCGGGCCAGGATGGCGGATGAGCAGGTGTTTTGTGTGGCACGGCTGGGCTGGGAAGCCAGGGGCGCCCAAGCCGACCCCGCTGGTTGCAGCCGGGCGGGCTCGGAGCTGCTGCGGGGATGCAGCGGCTCGGGGGTGCTGCTGCCTCTGGGCAGAACTGTCACCCCTCGTGCTTGTCACCCGCAGGGAACGGGACGCAGCTGCGGCGGCAGAGCCACTTCTCCCGGTGCCCGGAGGAGTACCAGCACTACTGTGTCAAAGGGAGGTGCCGCTTCCTCGTGGCCGAGGAGGCGCCGGCTTGTGTGTAAGTCACCCGCGGCGGGGACACGGCGGCACGGGGTGGGATGCTGTGCCCGTCCTCCCCGGGAGAGCGGCCTGAGGGGGGCACGGGCACCGTGGCAGCTTTTGGGACCGCCCCGTGCCTCCCCTGCGCCGCGGGGCAGGTGCGAGCGGGGCTACACCGGGGCTCGCTGCGAGAGGGTGGATCTGTTCTACCTGCGAGGGGACCAGGGCCAGATCGTCATCATCTCCCTCATCGTCGCCATCGTCGCCCTCATCATCCTCGTCGTCGGCATCTGCCTCTGCAGCCAGTACGTGGGGGAATGGGGTGGGAAGGGAAAGGGAAGAGGGAGCAAATCCTGCCTGGCTCCCTTGGCTCCAGGCAGGTTGAACTGGGGCTGCCCCAGGTCGCTGGGACATGCTCCTGCAGGTGTTGGGAGGTGCCTGGGACATCCTTTTGGGGCTGGAAAGCAGGTGTGAAGATCCACGTGGATCTTCTGCAGGGTAAAAGCCGAGGGAGAGGAAGGAGCATCACTGCCATGCCCCCTTCTGCCTCGTTTTGTTTGTTTGTTTTTTATTATTTTCCACCCTGTCAAGCCACTGTCGGAGGCAGCGTAGGAAGAGAAAGGCAGAAGAGATGGAAACGTTAAACAAGGACAGACCTTCCAGAAGTGAAGATGTGCGGGAAACGGGCATCGCGTGAAGGTGCAGGGGAGCGGGGGGACGACCGAGCCGGTGTGACCGGAGCCCCGCATTGGCGTGGGTGCCGAGGCCGACGGGATCTGCTTTCTCCACAGGAGCTCCCGGTACCTGCGGGCGGGTCCCGGACGGCAGCAGCGGCTGGCTCCATGGGCGAGGGCTCAAACGTGCGGCGGCTTGAATAAAGGGGTGGCGGAAAGGTGTCCCCGTGTCGCCAATGTCCTTGCGGGCGCGGGGGCCGCTGCCGGCGGGGGCTGCGCTGCCGCGCCGCGGCCGCCAGACGGCGACACTGCGCCGGGGCGGGGCGGCCCGCCTGCAATGCCCAAGATGGCCACGCGAGGGCGCCACAACCGCGGCGCCTCCGTCCCGGTCCCGGTCCCGGTCCCGGTCCCGGTCCCGGTCCCGGTCCAAGGGGCTCTGCCGGGCTCGGGTCCCGTTCCGAGCGGCCTGGGAGCCGTGCTGGAGCTGCTCCCATTGCAGCCGCGCCTCTCCGCAGGGACCGAGCCGAGCTCAGCGTCCCCGGGCGCCCTCCCGGTTCCCGACGGCCGGCGGGAGAGGGGAGGGACAGGGTGAGGGAAAGCGGGAAAAGCGGTGGAAAACAGGTGAGAACCGGGGCAGAACCGGGTGAACCGAGGCCGTTGGCTCCCGTCGCCCCCGCGCTGAGGGCTCTGGTGGCTGGAGTTGCGGCGTAGAGCCTGCCCGGGCCGGTGCGGGACACGCCGCGGGTCCCGTGGCTCTGGCAGTGGGTTTGGCTCGGACCATCTGCGGGGGGACAGCATCAGCTTCCCGGGATGGGGCCGGGTGTCCCTGCTGCCTCCCACGCGCGACGTGGGGACGCGGTGGAGCCGCGGGACCCCGGCAGCTCCCGATCCCCGGCCCGGTGACCGGCCCCAGGGGCTCTGCATTGCCGCGTCCCCCCGAGACCGGGAGCGGGTGGGGCTGGAGTCCCCGGGAGAGCCGGTGACCCTCCCGGCCCCGGGCTCGGTTCTCCCGGCACGGGCACCGGCTGGGTTCCTCCGCCCGAGCAGGACAGACCCTTCCAGCCTGGCACGGCTTTGCCACGGACGGGATGCGCCCTAACTGGTGAGTGTGGGAGCAGCTGCTGGGCAAACTGGTTTGCACTGGGAGCCCTTTGCTCCTGCCTGGGCCCAGCCTGGGAGCTGGAGCTGGCAGCAGCAGGGGCTTGGGGGTGGCTCTGGGGCTGTGTAAAGCCCCGCCGTGACTGAAAACCTTCTTTTTCAGATCCAAGCGTGCCATGGTGAGAGCCGAGGCCACCCCGGGGATCTGCACCGGTTCCTGCAGCCCCTCCTGCCCGGTGAGATGGTGATTCCAGCTGGATACGGGGGGCCTGTGGCCACCCTGGTGGTGCCAGTCCCTCGGGAATGTTGGTGCCCAAGCGATGCCACCTGGCTGTGCCAAAGGGTGCGGAAGGCTCATCCCAGTGCCCAGGCAAGGGGATATTTTTTGAGCTCCTATTTCACCTGGGTGCAGGAGGGGGAAGTGGATTCTTCATTGCACACAGCTGCTGGAAGCCCTGGTGTGAGCTGAGTGGCACCAGCAGCACCTGTGAGCTGATCCCCCCTCTATAAATGCTGCTGGTCCCCAGGCTTTGCTGGGCCTGCCTGGGGGAGTGGAACCAAGAGAAAAAAAATCCTTGCTGCTTCCTTGGGGATGTGCTGTACACAGTCTGGGAGACAAATAAAACGAAAAGGAGGTATGAGCCTTTTTCCTGTCTGTTTTTTGGGTGGGTGGAGTTGATGGCTGGGATGCTGCAGGCCCACAAGGGCTGGGAAAAGCAGGCACTGGGAAATCAGCGGCCCTGCAGGTCTCAGAGGTGGATAAACCACTTTCAGTCTTTTTATGATGCTTCATGGAGCAGTGGCCAGGAGAATGTTGGAGCTGCTCTATTCAGCGCTGGGTTTTCAGTGCTTTAAGTGATTCTCACTGGGATTTTCCCATGGCAGCCCTACATGCCCTGGTTGTAAGGAGGTGATGCTGCCCTGGATGCCACCCCAGAGCTCCTGCACTGCCAGGGAATTGCTGCTTTAACCTGATGAATTCCTGGGGAGTGGACAGACCAGACAGGAGGTGGTGTACTGAGCACCAAGACTGGGGATTTTATAAAAACCCCAAAAATAAACCCACACAACTAAGTCAGGAACTTTGCTGCTTCCTTTACATTTTTGGGAATGGGTTAGAGAGGTGGTGGGATGAAAAGGCAGGAGGTGGATCCCCCTTGTGTGTGTCTGAGAGCAGGAGGAATGAGAGCTGGAAAAAAAAATTACTACCAAAAAAAGGAAAAAAAAAAAAAAAAACAAAAAAAACCCAAACAAAAATCCCAAATAAAAATCCCAGGTACAACAGAGAGTGGAAAAGCCAACTGGTTTATGCCCAGGCTGGCAAGGACTGGATGATATCCCTGGGGAGGTGATGCTGGCAGGCATCAGGCAGAAGCAGCCTGAACTTTCCAAGGAAATCTGCTGCTTTTAGCAGGAGGATTATGATTTGTGTTGTTTTGAACAGCAGCTGAGTATTTTTGGGTGGCTTTTCCCCCCATAAGCAGTAATGGTGTCACCTGGCAGAGATGTCCTCAGCTGGCTTAATGGCACCTCTCCAGTTTTCCTTGGAATCCCAAAAGGTCACTGTAATTGATAACCCATACTTTGTGCATCTGGGATGTGAAGGATGCAAACCTGAGCACAGGAATGAGCTGTGGGTCACTCACCCCAACAGAACAAGGTGAACTTATAAATTAGAAATAATTAGAAAAATTTGGAAAATAAATGCCAAAGGCAGGCTGTGACATGAAGGGGGTGGGTGGATCCCAGTGCCTTGGCATCAACAGGTCCAGCCCCAGGTCGGTGGGATCTTTGGGGAAAGAAATAGAAACCAAAACCAAACAAAAACCAATTTGTCCTTTCTCTCCAGTTCTGTACCCCACAACAAGAGGGGCTGTGGCAGGAGATGGACAGGCATTGTGCCAGCCCAATCCACCTTATTTCTCACACTACAGGGAAACTCAGCAGTGATCCAGGAGCTGCCAGTGCTCCCCAGAAAAGGGACAAGCTGGCTTGAACAGGGAGTTCTTGTCTTTGGCTCTGTTTTATCGTTCTGGTTCATCTCTGCACACCCAGGTGTCCTCGTGTGCTTCCCTTGCTGCGTTTGTTGTACACAAAGCTGCCACATCTGGGCTCGGGGGATTTTCCTGTGGTTTTCTGGGCTGGCTTTGTCATCCTCCTGCATCCCAGACAGGGGCTTCTTCACCTGCAGCACCCCCAAAGCCTCACCTGTGCTGGGGAGGGCTCACCTGGGCAGGGAGGCAGCCAGGGGTGCCCAGGGTGCTCCTCTCAGGTGCTGGGGGTGTTGCTTCTAGGTAGTAACCCAAATACCCACAGACTGATGTCTCTGGGGGCATTTTATGAGTATTTTCCCTGGTTTTGCTTCATTTTTTAGAACTTTATCTCCCAGGATCAGGGCTGGGACCTCTTCCTGCCCGCGGAGGTGAAGCTGCGCTCCTCTCCCACCCTCCCCACCGCCCCGAGGGTGCGCAAAGCCCTTCCAGCAGCACTGCAGGGCGCTCTGCTTGTCTTTATTTCGGCTGCAGGAATACAAGGCGTGGGCTCGGCGACCTCCTGCTGCCCAGCATCCCGACGCTCCCATCCCAATACTGCGCCATCGCGGAGCTCCTCCTCGTGGTCCCCCCTCCATCCGTGCGCGCCTGGAGAAGCCGGGCCGCTATCCCAGCAGGCAGGACTCCTCCTTGCACAGCTCTGCCAGCTCCCAGCTCACCTGGGAAAGGAGGGAAGAGCCGAGGGGCAGCCCCGGAGCGGGGTCTGGCCCCGCAGCGGCGCGGGAGGGAAGGAGAGGCCGCGGCGGTACCTGGGGAGCGCAGAGGAGCGGGGGAGCGTCCGGCAGGCAGCAGCTGGAGGCGAAGGAGGCTCGCTGCTCCAGGAGCTGCTCCAGCTGCGCCGGGCTGGCCTCGGGCCGGGCCCGGGTCAGGCTGTCCCGCAGCCTGCGGCGAGGGGAGCGCGGTCACAGCGGGAACCTCCGGAGCCCCGCGGCTGCTGGCCGGGAGGGATGCACGCGTGGGCGCATCCCGTTTGTGCGCCCTCGGCGTCGTGGGGGAATTCCGATCGCAGCCGCTGAGCCGGGTGGGTGTTTCGTGGGGGGAAAAGGTAAAGGCTCACCTCTTCTTGAACTCGAGGAAAGGCAGCTTGCTGTACTGCCCGCAGAGCTGGTTGGCCCTTTCCAGGAAGGGGAGCAGCTCCTCTTCTATCCGCTTGCGCTGGGGGCAGAAGGTGGGAATTAGGAGGATGGGAAAAGCCTCTGCGGGGATTTGGGGAGCACCGGGATGAGGGGGAACAGGATGAGCCCCCAGAGCCCCCACACTACTCACCTTGCTGTCCAAACAGGCAGAGGGGTCCTTGGAGGAGCAGCATTCCCCCCGAAGTTTCTCGGAGGAGTCGTAGAGCTTGGCGAGGACGGCGTCAGGGAGGCTGGGGTGCCTCCGTGCCAGCTCAAACAGGAACCTGGAGCGGGAAATGAGTGCTCAGGCAAGTCTCACTTCGGGTGCTGCTCACTACGGGATGGGGCCCGTTTTTGGCATCTTTGTGCAGCCCCTGGGGCTGCCTGGTGGCACAAATTCCCCTGAGGGAATTGATGATGTTCCCCTGGTTATCCCCATAAGAACCCAAGCACGTAACAGGGTCAGGAACTGGTTGGACTCGATGATTTTAGGGATCTTTTCCAACTTAAGTGGTTCTGTTCCATGCCTGCACCCTGGCTGCCGTGGCTGCCACTCACCTGGTGGCATGGAGAGCCCCCTCCTTGGCACACAGCTCCTTGTTGGTGGGCTCTGGTGCCTCTGGCAGCTTGGGAGCCGGCGCTGGGAGCATGGCCAGGATACAGAAATGGTTTTCCATCAGGTTTTTGCCCTTGCAGCAGTCGGCGAAGCGCCCGTCCCGAGCCGACAGCGTGGTGCAGACTTTGGCCGTGTGCTCCAAGAGCTGCAGAGAGCCAGCAGGGCATGTGCAGGTGCCCTCAGCTCCCTGAGCTCCTGCTGGGACTCGGGAGCAGCTTCGGGCTGGGCTCAGCCCCCCCCTACCTTCTTCTGCATGCAGTCCTCGGCCAGCGAGTCGCAGCACTGGGAAGACACCTCGGCAGCGTCTTCGGCCAGGGGGAGAAGGTCCTCGAAGGAAGCAGTGGGAACCTTCTGAGCCAGCGAGGCCAGGTAGCTGGGGAGCACAGGGTGTGTGGGGCGAGGGGGGCTGGGATCCCCTTCCCAGGAAACAGCTCCGAGCCCGGGGGAGGGAGGGAGGGGATGGGGAGGGCATGGGGAGGGCAGGGCTTGCTCTGCCCCTGTGCTGTGCCTGGAGTGGCTCCAGGGTTTTACACCAGAAGTAAAGCCTGTATTTCTGAATGCTGTCTGCTAACAGGATCTGCAGCTGGAGGGAGGAATCCTCCCCCAACCTGGCTCCTGTTCCAGGATGGAGAGGCCTGTAGGGAGCGCTGGGCTCCAGGATGGTTTGGGTGAACAGAGATGAGAGATCTCTGCAGGCTGCTCTTGGGGTATCAGGTTTATTAGGGATGGAGAAAGGTCCTGCCTGGAGCTGCCAGACGCAGCACGTGGCGAGGCTTGAGGGGATGGGGAGAGGAGAGACAAGAGGATGCTCTAGGAGAGGGGAAGTTCCAAGAGGAGGGGAAGTTCCAAAAGAGCATGTGGCCCCTCGGAGCCCCTTATCAGGGGGCTTCAAGGTAGGCTGGAACAAGGCTCGGGCCAATGGAGTTACAGGCACTTGATGTTTTAGGAGAGGGATACAGATGCAGGGTGAACCGTACATTTTGGGGGCTGAGATGGAACAGACCACTCGACCCCTGGACCCATTCGTAGGCAAGGGCATTGTCCAGCTAGCAGGGAGGACTGTTCTCACCCTGGCTGTATTATTTATGAATAATTATATTTATCCATCCTTCCCAACAGAGGCTCTTTCCCCCTGTACCTGAAGCTGACTTTGTCCTTCCCATATGCCGAGAAGCGGGAGCAAATCCTGTTTGATGTCAGGGTGAGGAGGGAGAGGGTTTTCCTCTCCAGTTTCTACAACAAAAAGAGAATGGGAATGGAAATTAGCACAGAGCTTGCCTGGCTCCCTGAGAAGTGAGGATGGGGCCGAGCCCAGAGCCCCAAAGGGTTTCACCTCCTTCAGGAAGCAGGCAGTGGGTGCAGGGGAGATGCAGCAGGTGGAGACCATGGAGAGGAAGGTCGTGGTGGAGCTCAGGAGCACAGGCAGGGGAGCCTGGCTGTAGCTGCTGGCGTACTCGTACAGAAACCTGCGGCAGAGATGGGATAAGGAGCCCCAGCGCCTCAAGATCAGGGGATCCAGAGCACAAGTGGGGTTTGGAGGCGTTCAGGTCATCCAGGGATGGGGAGCCCTCTCCAGCCACCACCCCAGGCTGCCAGCCCGTGGCACCGGCCGGTGCCGGCACCCAGCTGGGCTCGGCGGGCTGCTATCCCCCCCCGCCCCGGCTCACCGGTCGGCAAACTCCCGGGGGTCCCGCTGGAAGGCCTGGCAGAGCTCCCTGTCGGAGGGCTGCAGGTAGCGGGGCAGCGGCTGGGGCGGGTGCCGCAGGGCGGCCAGGCACAGCTTCCGCTCCAGCCCCTCGTGGGTGCAGCACTCGGCCGTGCCGGGATGCGCCGGGAAGGGCGAGTCCGCGCCGCAGGATTTGGCCGACAGCGCCGTGGACTGCAGGAGGGACAGGAGTGTTGGGAAGGATGGATAAATATAATTATTCGTAATAATACAGCCAGGATGAAAACAATCCTCCCTACTGGCTGGACAATACCCTTAGCTACAGATAGGTCCAAAAGTCATATGGACTGTTCCATCTCACCCCCCAAAATGTACAGGTCACCCCGCACCTGTAACCCCCCCCTAAAACATCAAATGTCTGTAACCCCATTGGCCCAAGCCTTGTTCCAGCCCACCTTGAAGCCCCCCGATAAGGGGCTCCGAGGGCCCAGATGCCCTCTTGGATCTTCCCCCCTCTTAGGACCTCCACCCTCTCCTAGAGCATCCTCTTGTCTCTCCCCCCTCCCATCCCCTCAAGCCCCACCACGTGCTGCGTCTGGCAGCTCAAAGCAAGACCTTTCTCCATCCCTAATAAACCTGATATCCCAGGAGCAACCTTCAGAGATCTCTCATCTCCATTCACCCAAACCATCCTGGAGCACAGCACTCCCTACACAGGAGGTTATGGCCACCCCATCCCATCCCGTTACCCGTTTTTGGGGTCTGATACCCGTTTTTGGTCAGTCTCACCCCAGCATCGTAGCAGGAGGGGTCAGCCCCATCGGTGCAGCACGTCTCGGCCAGGGAGACGATTTCCCGGACGAGGTGGCCGATCTCCTCGAAGGTGCCATTGGAATATTTCCGGCTGTTGGCAATGATGGTCCTGGGAGCAGGGAGCAAGCACAGGGAGAGCCAGGTGAGCCATTATCTTCAATCAAAAATCACATTACAGGACTGTTCTGCCCAAATGGGTTCAACAGTGTTGGCTGTGGTGCTGAGAGAAATAACAGCATATTCCTTGGAAAACAGCCAGGAAAGAACTGGAACAGCTTCCAGGCTGGGGGCTGCCCCTTACCGTGGCACTGACTGTGTGTCAGCTCTGTGAGAATTCTTAATTATTTAGCTACTTAATTGGTTTGGAGGAATTCAGCAATGAATCAAACTTTTCTCCTGCTAAAAGCAATCGGAGTCCAGGGGTTTGAATTGCATCTCCCCTTTTTGATGAATTGAATCCATCTGCCCTTTTCCAAGATTTTTATTTAGTGTTTTCTGCTCCTGGCTCAGGTGTCAGGCCTCCTGGGAGGGCACCAGCAGCAGGAGGTACCTACAGGGTTCGGAAGTTCTCCTTTCCCAGCATCTTGTACTCCTGGCAGACTTTCTCCCGGACATAAGCTTTCCCTGAAAGTGCAGGAGAAGGAGGAATTGTGAGTAGGGAACAAGGAATGCTCTGCCACCACAGAACATGCTGCTTTATTCACTTGGGGTTTGTTAATTTTCTTCACTCCATTACTTCTATTTCCAAGTAGGAGTTGGTGGTCCCTGGGGAGATGTTGGCTAAGCCAGTCTGGGAGAAGCATCCCTGGTATCCAGGCTGCTGGTCCAGCTTTGCAGCCAGGGAAAGGAGCAGGGAGAAAACCTTCTACAGGTAAATCATATGGCAGTTTTTGAGTATGGAATATGTGGGGCTGGATTTTCTGGCAGGGCCTGGAAACCATAAGGGCTGGGAACTCTGGGCCAGGTCCATGGAACAGCCAGCAGTGAAAACTTTCCCAGCAGTGCTGCCATCCCTGGAAAAACGGGATCGATTCACGGGACCAGACTTTGGCACCCGCAGGGTAAACAATGATACCGGTGTTTCCTGGGATTACAGCGTGGGGCAGGGTCACCTCCCAAAATCCAGGGGTTTGTGCCATGACCCTGAGGATCACATCACTCTGGGGGGAACAGAAGTGGAGGGTGAAGGCAGGGGGTTGCCAGAAAAGGGGAAGCCGTGGAAAAGGCAGGTCTCTTTCCTGGCAGGAATGTCGGCTCCCGGTCCCAACTTGTGGCATTTCTGTTCACTTTTATAAAACCATGTGGGACAGGTAAGTTTTAGGTGTTTTTTGGCAGGTGGGGGATTCCCTGTGGAGCTGAGAAGGCAGCAAAGGATGGCAGAGCATTGTTTCCATCAAGGGGTGAGTTTTACAGAGGAATGGTGCTTGTCAGACAGGTCAGGAAATCCCATTTTCCTTTACAAAGAGAAGGAGCCAATCCCTGTGGCTCTGTCCTCTCCCCATCCCACCTCCTCCAGCATCGCCCCAAAGTGGCATCCTGGATCCCAAACCACCCTCCCACCCCTTCCCTTTCCTCTCTGGTCCTGCCCAGCGGTTTGGCTGCAGGCTGGGAGAGGGGAGGCCACCGAAAACCGCTGGAATGGAGGCCCCAGCCCCGTGCCCCTCATCCCAGGGGCTGGCAAAGCCCTGGGATCACCCCCCTTACCTCGGTGTAACGCCTGTGCAGCGGCCAAGAGAGGCAGCAGGGCCAGAGCTGCCCTCATGTTGGAGCTGGCTCTCCTCCTCCTGCTGGGAAGCAGCTCTGGGAATCCCATCCCGGAGTTTTTATGGAGGCAGTGTCAGCAGCTGGGAGAATGATTAATCCCAGAGGGCAAGCATCCTTGGCCTGCTACCTGGGGCCTGGGTGCCAGCTCCTCAGCAATCCAGCCAGTTTAAATCATTAACTTGGAAAAACAGGGATGGGTTTGAATTCAGTGCACCCCCAAAAGTGGAAAGTTCTGTGTGCTCGGGACAGTATCTGATCCCGAGGAAGGAGACACACTTTTTTTTGGGATGTCAGCACAACCCAACCTGCTGGTGCTGCTTGCAAATGCCGGCTGTCATCCTTGGAAGATCAGCTCCAGAGGGGTCTCCCTACAGTGCAGCTTTCTCTTTGTCCCTAGAAGAATGGCAATTCCACATCTATCATCTTCTAGGGTCCAAAGACAAGCTGAGGAAGAGGAGAAGATCCAGCTAAAGTGAATCCTCACTGGTCCTGCCTGGGTAATTGAGGAGAGGGAAGCAAATAGGGAGGGATGGAGATCCAACTACTGCAGAGAGAGCCCTGGCCCCCAAATCTGCCCAGCCTCTCCATGCACCCTGCACTCCCCTTGAGACCAGATGTTCCCTCTCAGACCACATCCCCTGGGACAAAGACAGAGCTGGTTTTTATGGACTAATCCAGCTTTTTCTCCCAGACGTCTGTACTGACAGTGAGCTGCAGTTTGGGACCAAAGCCTGCCAATGCAGGAGATAACGATGTCCTGTTCTTGATGGTTTTATGTGTGCAGGGTGAAAATAAATAATTAGGAACTCATGGAATGGCCTCCTCTCCTGGATGAACCGTTCCAGTCAAGCTTTTATGTCACAACCAGTGGAGGTGGAGAAGACGGGGCCGGTGGGAGCCCCCGCGCCGGGTCCGCTCCTGGCCCCGGTTCCGCATCTGCACCGCGGAACCGCCGCCGCTGTCCCCGCCCGGCTCCCCGCCACCGGGACAGCGGCGGCAGCGGCAGACTCGGCCCCAAAGCTCGGCCCGGAGCGGCTCCTCCCGCCCGCGGCCGTCCCGGTCCCGATACCGATCCCGGTCCCGATACCGATCCCGGTCCCGATACCGATCCTGGTCCCGATACCAATCCCGGTCCCGGTGCCGCCTCCATCCTCCCGACGGGGGAGAGGCGGCAGCTCCCGGGACCCCCCGGCAGACCCAGCAGCGCTCGGTCCCCGCACCCCCGTCCCTGTCGCGGCCCCGCCGCAGCGCTCCGGGCTCCGAGCGGTGCCCGCCGGGAGCAGCCCCGGGGCCGGGGCTCGCACGGCGCCGAGCGGGGCTCCCGGGACAGCGGCGCGGCACCGAGCGGGGCCGAGCGGAGCTGGGGTGTGCCGGGGGTCCCGGGCCGTGCCGCCTCTCCCCCGTCGGGCCCGGGATCGGTCCCGGCCCGGGGTGGCCGCGGGGGCGCTGCCGGG